GCTTGCTTTGATCTTGATGATGTTCGCCGACTGGACTTCTCGTCGTCGAACCTTAGCCGGAAGCACTGGCTACCCTTTCAGTACCGAGTCGCACAAAGGCATTTCAGTTGGCTCCTTTTGCCCCTGCAACCACATCGACACAACCACTACGTTACCTCAATAGTCCAACCTCGAGCCTGCTGGGTCCCAAACGAGTTCCTTCCCGACCACTGACCGTATTGACAACAGGCAGCGTTTCCACAAATCGCCAGTGAAGCCGCTCTAGGCTTGAGTGTAGGCTAACTGCTCGGGTCCGGGTTGATCGAAGCAGAATTACATTGCACCGGCGAAATAGCGGTAGTAGAAACTAGCAGTATAAGTAGTGCTAGTGGATCTTACCAATAAGTGAATAAGCCAAGGCGACCCAAGAACTACAACAACTATATACACGGTAGGTGGGTAATCTTTTGTGGTCTGTGTGTTTGTGTCGCTGACCGCATATCCTGCTGCAGGCTAGTTTGCAGTACCTGACTTTCCTTCAAATAATCAATACTTAGATCAATCCTTTGTCAGCTTCATATCCGCATCAATATCCGTATAGATGTCTATATGAACTGCATAAAAAATTCGAATGAGTGTCGTTCTGTTGTGGCAGAATTTACAATGCTAAACTTCGTACATTGGTTCTAGCCATTGGAGAGATGGAAGATGTTGCTTCGACTATTAGAAAGTTCTCATAAGGATTTGACTTAATCAGACATGCAATGACATCTCTGCCTTACAAAATTGACATCTCGGTAAATTATTCTAGAGAGGTAGTGGCTGTTTTTATATATATATAATTTTTTAATATTTGTTATTTGATTTTTTAATTAGTGATGCTCTCAAACTCATAGGTAATGTAGATGCTTCTATTGCAGTCTAACCCAGAAAATAGGCAACAGTATAGGCGTAATACTTACACTGTCGCAAAGCAATAGTGTTCAATGCAATAACAGAGCGAGAATAATTTTCGTAACATCTTTATGCTTGAATTAAGATTGGGTCTTGATTCCTTTCTTTAACAGTAGTTCATCAATAAATCTCATGTTTTCTTTTTTCATCATCAATGTACATCGCAATTATCGTAATTCCTATCTAAGCTACACTATGCGCTAATCAACCGACACCGGAACAATTTTCATAATTTTTCCGTGTAGTTTCATAGTGAGGCCATATTCCCTTTTCGTCGGGACCTAAGTTCTAAAGTACTATTATGCGCTTTACTATATACTTTATTATTTTTTTTATATATATATATATATTTTTATGTATACATATATATATGCCTCGACAGGTATGTGTTGCCAACCCATCCAATTGCGACGAACAGTATCCGATGTATCTAAACACGGGACTCATGTTACGTTTCCACGGACTATTTTACCGATAAGCCCGGAAAAAAAGTGTGCACACTTATTGCTCGTGAAGAACAAACTAAAATGTTCGCCTTCCCTATGCACATCTGTACGTTGCATAGGGAATCCATAATTTTCGTCGTGTTCCATACAGCAAACCTTCCGCATGGAATTCGTGTTTCGTACATGGCCGTTGCTAGTGATGGTTTTGTTGCAACATGCCGGCAACTTCTGCAGGCCCTTACTGCTGCCCAAGCGTTTGGACGGCTTCCATACTGCTGACCCGCTTTGCGTAGCTCCCCTCGTTCTGCCTATTCACGTCGTGCACCAGCAGAAGCAGTCAGTGTAGTAGTAGAAGGGTCGCGCAGTTCTAATCCTTAATTTGGAGGGTATTAGCTAACTGGCGGGTTTGGTCGAAGATTCTTCGTACCCAGGGCTAACCGGGGAGTGCTGAACGTAGCGCCAGGGCCGGTAGTTCTTACTACTTTTGTGCGAGGGCTTCGAATAGAAGCCCTCCTCGTCAGGACTTTTGCCATACACTCTACAGCGCTATAGTCCATCGCAATGAGTTTTCTCTCCAGTCTTTGGAGCCACGTTCCTAGCTTGCGTGGCGTGAACGGCCCCTGCGTTTCACGCAAGCCGTGCGGATGGCAACGCGAGCTTTGGAGCAAATGCTGGCTGAGTGCTTTTCAGGGGACCTCCTCTTTCTCTCTGACATTTCGAGAGCCTTTGGGAGTTCTTCGGTACCACAAGTCCCGCTAATCCCTCCCATATTTAACCCACCCAACGTCTCGCTCCGGTCAGCCGACGCCCGACTTCGCCCTGTCTTGCGCACATCCTCTTCCTCCGAACTTCTTTTAGCTTAGAACAGAATGCGCTACCGCGAGTCGGCCCCTTCGACTTACTCGACTAATAATGCATTTCCTTCTCACAGTTCCGCTAGCGGTGCTCAGGATTCCCTGTCGACGTTTTGTCGCTTCATGGTAAGACTGCATGAGAATCCCTGCTGAAGCCGACGCCTGCACATCGCATATAGCGGATGTCATTCAGTATTCTCCACCGGGAGCGCACATATCAACAGTAGAAGGCGATCAGCTACCTAATTAGTTAAGTACGCTCGATGCCTTCGAATTGTTTGTGAATATACTAACACCACTTGTTAGTACGTGTTTAACCGACAACAATAAACAACTCTAATTAATCACATTGATTGTTGTTGTGAGATAGTTGTGGAAAGTGGTGCAGATTTTGGCGGGCTTTTTATCATGGCGTACATACGTTGGTTCACCGTTTATAATACTTGAGGAAAGGCTGTCTTTCTAGAATAAATCACAAGCGCACGGAAAGTCGAAGCTTTGTGTTCGGATACGCGCCGGATGAACCTTCCACCAGGATTATCGCATTGCTAAACGGCTTCTAAAGAACCTGAGAAATATTTAAATTGGAAAATCCAACAATGAGGATGGATGATTAGAAAATAGAAAATTATTTACAATGGCGTAAACAGCCATGTTTGATGAAATCAGTATTTATGCGCAGAATTTTGCGGCTTTACTAGCGAACTATTTACGTACGATTGGTTCGACCACATAAATCCTACTGGTAGGTACTTTTTGACCTATCGCGTCTTCCGCATGCTTCAGGCTTTTCTTACCCTTGTAACCTCTTGCCTACTGTCAGCCCAGACTTTCCTTTAAAAAAATCTACAGATCTTTTTGTATTTGGTGTATTCAAGACAGACTTCAATGGATCTGCACACAATGCGTATACAAATACAGCGTTGCAATATCATTGTGAAAAATATGCACGTTTAGAAAAAAAAAACCGTGAACTGCCCAGGGCCCTAAACCGTTATCGAAACAAGTGACAGCTACATTATATCAGAAAGATTTTTCTGTAGACGTACGTAAAAAATCTCACTCAATAATATGTATTTTTGAGTAGCTATCACTTAGTAACATCGAAGTCGCTTCAACACGTCAATATAAAAAAATGTATGTTTCTATAAGAATACACTGGAATATTATGCGGGTTGCATGATGATGCAGTATTTGCGCTGGACGGCTAGTACTGCATGATTTATCTAAAGATTTCTATCTATCAACACCTGATTTCTAGTACAAAACCGCCAACAAATTAACCAATGACTAGAAACGGGAGAACCATTTACTATTGTATTACCGTTTATTGCTTAATGTTTTTTTTTGTTATGTCTAGCTTTCTTAGCTTAATTTTTCTATTGGGCATCAAGCAGTTGACGCTTTAGAAACTCATCACCTAATACTGCCATTCTGTAGCCTTTGCTCGTGTATAGTAGCTTGCCATATACAGAGCGCCAAAGCGAGACTATCATGTGTCGGCTACATTGATTTTTATGTAGTTTCAAGTTTTATGACGAGTACTTTGAAGTATCGAAATGTATAAATTTGTTGGTCTACCGAGATCTAGGTGACTGGCACAAGAAATGTTTCAAGCAATAAAGATCTTTTTAGTATATTTATGACTTTCCATAATGATGGGGTTAGAGAGCCGATAAAAACGAAGGATTACAGTACTACCTACGCAATTTTCCTACAAAGTACACACTTCGGCTCATGTTTTTCTTCTTAATAAACGTATTTTCTCATCGGAAGTAAGATGTTTTATCAGTGCTTAACGCAAGGATATATTGTAACTAGAACACTTCCATGAACTACTATAGTCACTTAACTGACAGATTGCTCTAGAAGTTGCGCTAACAAAAAAGCTTTCGTCAAACAAATTAAACGAAACCTCTATCCACCCTACACTACTAAAGTGTAAACCCAAAACATCGGAAAAAAAAGTAAGTATGCAATCCCACTGTTAAATGGAAAGAAACACAGGCACGAAACAGGTGGGCAACGCAATACGATCAAGACGATCTATTCATTATTTGCACCTTCAACTTTTGACACGCCGTGCATTATCAAAGATACACTAGTATGCTTGCTTATCTGTATCTCTGGATCAAATCAGTTATGGATCCACTGTCATCTCATCGAGTGCTTAAACGCACGCCGCTTAACGTTGGGCCACCGCAAGCCACCCCCAAAACGTGATGGTCTTCAGTAGATCTACACATGAATCAAAATAAAAAAAAAACTTCACGTTCGTTACTTTTGCCTGCTGATGACTAAAGACTCTATTATTATAGAGTTCTCCTATACAATCTCAGTGCAGCTTACGTCAAGGACATTATCGAATCTGGTTACAGGTTTACGAACCTTGGAAATGTCTATGAAATAGGGTTATGAGGCTAGGTTACACCTTGGCCAAAAACATACGTTAGGACAACACATATGAGTAAACATTAAACCACAATGATTAAATATTTCCCGTAATTTTCTGAGAAAGAAAATTTTTCGAGAGACCAGATCTAACGTTAGAAATGAAAAACTATATATTTTATAAGATTGTTGCTTGGAGTCACTGGCTGTTACTTTTGCCTATTTAAAAAATGCTAGACGGTGAATTTTACATTGCAAAAAAGTTAAGTATTGTCGTTAGAGTAAAAGTCGAACTTTCTGTTTTGTTTATTGTAATTTATATATATATATATATATATATTTTTTTTTTCTGAGAAAGAAAATTTCTTATATTATATATATTGTGAGCTTGTAAATTCATTTGGAAATGCTATAGAAAAGTATCAGACATTGAATACAGTTCAGTCATAGGGATATCATATCGATGCGGCAAGCTGAATTACTTTAAGACTGAATCAACACAGTATAACATCATATCAATTGCGACTGTTCACTCACGTACTGGCTACATATGCAACGCTTCAACATTTCTCGGCGTATCCAAAATAAACATTTCCACAAACTCGGGTGCATTTTATAGTTATACTTTCCTATCTGTCAAATCATGTTAGGGCTAGTATCTGTTGAAAGTGTGTCTTCAGCTTTTCTCAGATTTTCGGGATCCTTTCAATAGGGCTTCTAGAAGCATTTGGCTAAGTTTATCTTCGGGATTGTCGGCTTGCCAGTCTTCGTAAGCCCAATCATATTCGAGCTCGCATTCTGGCCTACCCCCATCTAAGAATTGAACACGATGACCAGCCTCCGTCTGAAAAGTTCGTACCGTAACGTTGTCGCTTTTTACTGTTCTAGCTGTAAGTATATGTGAAGTGCTTCTATTAATAAAGTGCCTAGGTCCCTTCAGAACGTATTTCCGAATTTCGCCACTAGATCTGCATCTAGATATAAGTAACAAAAACTTACAAGAGTAAAGTTACAATGCGCTTGAAGCATTCATCTTTGTGATATATTTATTCTATTTCTTTAGCAAAACATACAGATCTTAGGTTCAAGTGAACAACTTACGTCTTCGACGTTTGCAAACTCAACGTCGTCAGCTTCATGCATTCCTTGCGCTATTGCTAAAATAAAAATCCGCCCATTTGGCGTATGCGTTAGCGTTTAAGTTCTCCACTGGTAACCTTCGATAGTAAGTTACATTTCCTAAATGACATGCCGTTGTAAACGTATTAAGGATTATACAATTCGATCGCTGGCAAAACAAGACAGCGTTTTGATGGTCTGCCCGTACTTACGATACTTTTAAAATATAATGTATGTCTTGAGGCTTCGATTGAGAAGACCTACCTCAATTATCAGTGTTATTCCTGATCCACATTTCCACGAGATACGCATTCGGCCTGATGCTATTTAGGGTGTAACCAGTGTAATATCACGCAACATAAAGTAACAAAATAATGGTATGCGTGCTCTTCTTCATTATCCAAATATTAAAACCAGTGTTCTTCCTGGTAGCGGTGCAAAACCAATATAAGAATCGACCGCAGACCAAGTGACACAACCTTTGATGACGCAAAGGCAAATGAAGTCGCGCAGACAGACATAAATCTGGAACACTACCTTTTTCTGGAACAGCAGCGCCACTAAAGTTGCCTTTTTCTCATGTCCTACGTCTTTCTTATCCGATCCGTTCAAGTGATACTGACTAACCCATTGTGGCCTAAAGGCTGGTTTTTGCTGGCTGTATCGTAATTGACTCTAGAGTACAGCACGTGCGATTCCATTTGTTTTGAGGTCACTTCGAAACAAACCTGTTTTGTGCTTTCCATCTCTACAGTGTTTCCGTTACAACTTTATAACACATACTTTGAGAAGTATCGAACTAAGCCGATAGTAATGGAATTGGTCGTGCTCTGTAGCGTTTGAAACCTTCTGTTATAACAACGACGCCTTTTTTCTTTTTTTTTCTTTATAACAGATTCTCGTTTCACCGAAGCCTTTGTTGTCCAGTATTTTTACCACTCTTCAATAAATTCCACCAGCGCTTCAGCGTTCGAGGGGCAAAAATCTAATCACTGAGACCTGATTTGCAACACTAAATTATGCCTATAAGCCTCAACTCCTTAGTCTCTGATGATATCCGAGTAGTCTATAGTCGTACAGAACAAAAGACTGGATGTAAATATTTAGGAAATTTCGTCTGCTAGTAGTACTTAACCAAATCGCTCCCGACAAGCTAGTAAACTAGTTTACTGCATACTAAACTTACTATTATCAGCATTAAACAAATATCGATCGAAGAGGTATTGTAGAACGGCGGCAAGGGCTAGAACAATAGACAAAAGAGGAACGCTCGCAAGATACACCGTGAGAAGAACGCGAATACTCACTTCAGGATCTAAAAGTCGAACCGGAAGAAATAGAATGAATGAATGAATGAATGAATGCATGCAATCAGACATCGACCCAGTTATCAAATAGTCATAGACAATAAATACTCTTATGGGTAAATAGCCTTCCTTAGATAAATACCTGACATAGCAGAACGCAGCTAAACAATTTTTTTATTTGTTGTTTGTGACTCGTAGATTGGAAGTAGACCCGCAGTCCCCAATGTCAATTTATGATAATTAAATTATGACTTACGCTAACAAGGATAGATGACGAATATTGCGCGTGTATTGCACCGCGTTTCTATGTATCTAATTGAAGCAATCAACCATCAGTACACGTAGCAAATTTACCTGCTACACAAATGCCCTTCTCTTCATGATAGTCATTTTTACACTGGCAAACACCTCTCAGACATACGACATGGTTCATATTCCTTCCTGCAGCTATCTCAGAACACTCATCTTTACAGAAACCTGCTCGACTGTAGCCGCGTACGGTAGTGCAGCAGGGCCAACCTAGCACATTTGTGGGCCATGGTCGTCGAGTTGTGTGGGGGTACCCGTACTTATTGGTCGAGTCCGAATCGTTTCCTTTAGGTTGGCCTATACGCTGGTCTAAACAAGAAGAACACAACAATTGTCCCAACGTAAATTATCTACAATGCTTGGCTGAGACTCTCACTTACATAGGTGGAATAGGCACAGCGGATTCGTCCGCGATTCACTTCAATTGAAATACGGCCTAATAATTAGATATATGCTCTAATGTAGCCCAAAGGGTACGTCGGCGACTTTCACCTATCTAGTAATTATGAGTAGTTCTTAATTCATCGTATGGTCACACAACCACAATAGGAGTTCTAGGTTCTTGTTTGCTTGAACACTGTAGAATGGTTGTTACTTATGTTACGCAAGCATAAACGAACACGCAATAAAAAAGTGATTGGTTAGTCCAGTGAAGTTTAAAAAATTGAAAAAGCTAATGTTTTTGTATAAAAGATATATATTAGCGTTAGTTTTTTTTTTATTATATAAAAAGTAGAGAAATTCGTAATCGGCAGGCTTTTGCAAATGATAGAATATTTTTCGTATACGAAGCAAACGTTGAGATTAAATTATACAACTTTATATCTCGTCCAATTGACTGTTGGGACATCTGATTGAAGATCAACCAATTCCAAGCTGATCACGTATGAAAACAAATAGCATTTTTTGTAGACTTGAAATATTCAAAGGGAATAGTTGTACGATACCTTTTTGGGTGGGAAAGCTAAGTCAATGTTTTTCTGTTTTACGTGTTGTTGTTCCTAAGTCTCCATCACCAACGACAAATACTCACATGGATCTTTCACCTTCGTACAAAAACCGCGCCCTTTAGCTGTCTTATCAAGTGTTTCTGTTACAAATTTCGTTAAAGACATTCTGCGCCACATCGTGAGACGTTTTCTGGTTTTTCCCCAGTTGTATTTTATGATGCTGTCTCTCAATAGTTTTCTCCATGAAAACCATCTATAAAATTGTAGATATCATGTGAATATGCTTGTTCCTGTTAATTCTATCATCGCTCACTTAGTCCTCTTGGCCAACGATACCTCACTGGTACCGGGTTTCGGGGGCCTTCAAAGAAGAAACAAATATTTTACAGTTATTTCCCTACATACCTTTTACTTTTATCGTAAGTAATGGTCGGTATATAGCTGTAGAGGTACTAACTTCTAACGATGAACGCACGAGAGATTTCGCAGATATGGAAAAGCGCATAAAAGAAGATAACGTCAGGCACTAAACGATGTTTGCAGACAACCCCTCGAAACATTCTGTCCACTTTAATCGAATTGCGTTCAGCTGTTGATCCACTGTCTGCAGTCACCGGGAACAACTTCGTCACCTATCTCCATTACCGATTGTTCAAGCAGTCCGACAAAGGAATCACGCAATGATATTGGCTTAGCTTTTCTCACTTTTTAGCAACTGTCAGTAGTCTGAGCCAGGTGTCTTAGCAAGAGAGTCCTTCGACTGAAGGTTACAGACACAAAAACCGATGTATAGCATTGACAATAACAGTAGATATTACGGTGACATCTGTACTAACAAATTTCGTGCACAATATGCAGACCACCTGCACAAAGGTACAGCGCACAATTTGCACTATATCTCGATATGAAACGTATACGATTTGATTAAGTAGCACAAAAAACAAGACCGAATATGTTTTTATAGCAAAGCTGGACGGAGTATTGTATTTCCGAGATATTATGATAGACGTAACAGCTATATGTTTGGTGAAAACCTTAGGGTAAACGTACGATATTAGTAGAATCAATGAATGTTTGGCCTAGTTTACGCAATTTCTTTGTTGGCTCGCCTTCAGCTTGAACGTCTAGAAAGCCAATTTGACCAATGTAATTTAGCAGCATTCAGATTAATGTCTGTATCATGAGATCTAATGAGAAAATGCTTGAAATTTACATATAAAAGCAACGCTTAAATATATCAAATTCGATTAATCAATCACGTAACCATTAACTTCCGACGAAGTTCAAACGGGGCAAAAAATTGAGACATTGTGTTGAACTACGAAAATGTTAATTTAATGCTTCATGGTGCCAAAAATTGCTCGCACTAATAACCGGTAAGTTAACTTAATGCTTGCTAGTGACCTTTTAAGTCAGGCTACGTCAAACCTGAACGGCCTAATTTCTCGAACAGTTACTAACAGGCTATCTGCTGTTGATATTGTCGACCTTTCACAGATACTGCAAAACTTGGTAAATTATGTTCAGCTACTATGACAATAACATGTTCCATTCCAACAGCCACTATAGACGTACATGCACTTATGGCCTATGTTTAAAACTAACAAAAACGAGTTTCAATAACCAATTGGAGCTCCAAATAGGTAGACGATGGTCTAGCACTTGAAATGACGCCAAGCTCCCATCGCACTGCAGGGGTACAGAACGCGTTCTGTTACCGATATGGCTAGTATGATTAGCAACAATAAAGTCTGTTAGTGAATGGTGGAGTGTACCGAGTCGATTAAGGTCCAATTTAGCGGAACAAAAGACTATCATCTGTTAGACCTAATTTTAACGTTTCAAGGCCGTGTGGAAGATCATGCAGAGAGGTATCAGGGTATTTATTTGTATATAGAATAATTACAGATGAGACAACTGTACGTAAGCCCGTGATGGATAACAATATAGAATATTCAAGAAAAAGGCGAAAACATTCGTTTTCTCACAATCATTTAATAAGCAACACTTTTAATCAGTACTATATATTCTACTTAAAAATCCCGACAAAGAACACAGTCGTCAGCAGCACATCAATTACAAACGTTCTAGCTAACCCCTATAAGGCATTACAATAATAAGAAGCAAATAGTACCACAGGCATCGCTAACATTATCTCCTTCGCACTCAGAACCAAAGTAGTGGTAAGCGGCTTAGATGGTCAAATGTTGCTAATGAATTTCCCATGGCAGGACAAGACAAAATAGTAGTTTCCGATGAGCATTCCACGAGTGCTCCACAAGACATCGCGCTTCATCGGGTGCCTAAGTTATCGATGGAGTGACAGTATTGGCCTAGCCCTGTATCACGAATGGTGCTTTTCGATTTGGAAAAAACGTAGGCTTTGCCAGACGGCGGGTTGGTATTGCAATAGAGAGCTCGCACCAAGGGACATTATGATAACCTGCTGTCCTTACATGCAAAGGACGCGATTCCTCTTAGTGCAGGAAGTCCTAAGGAGAAGAAGCTAGACGCTATAAGAACTACTTTTCGACGTGAATACTCGTCGCACTGGCAGGTGCCTATCGGTTTCCTGATAAATGAGTACGCAAACTGTGCTAGTATAAGATAATGGGTAAACATAGAGAATGAAAAACTTTATCGCACTACGTCGGTACAATTACCTTTAGATTTCTAAAACGAAATCTATTTTTTAGCGTATATGACAAACTGGCCATTGCAAGTCCGTTTTTGCCTTTCCGAACGCGCCTGTAGTACTTGTCCTCATATTCTTTGCTGTTCACAACAGTCTATTTACCACTAACGACGACGTGTAAAAGTGATAGTGTTCCAAATTTCAACATTTGTCAAATACCAGCAAATACTTTTATTTCGTCTACAGGATACCCAGGAATTTTTTGACCCAACCCATGTAAAGAAATTGATCTTTGAAGTAGAAAAATTCGATACGCAATGAGTGTCGAACGCCGGTTCGAGTAGGGCCTAGAAATATATTTACTTTCTTAGGTTCGTACAAGGCGAGTTGATAATTCATCGCAACCATTCTGAGTAAACACTACGGATGGTACATTGGAACTGTTGCATCGATCTAGTTAAGCGAAAATCAAATTATTATGGTTTAATGCCCGGCTTATTATTTGGAAAGAACTTAATCCTCGACGGTTTCCTGCTGCTCCATGTTCTCAAAATTGGCTTTTCGCTTCGTTTAACTTCAGTCGTATAGAGGGTGCAGACGGCTACCAAACGACAATCCCTAGACCCGTCGAAGTTCATATTCGCCCCCTCCCGCCCCCCCTTACGCGTCTGGTCTCTAGCGAGCCTCGTTGTCGTTGTTGATATGTCAGTGACTCGCTCTTTCGTCTCTGTCTCTCCCTTGGCCTTCCCACGACAAAGTTGCATTTACTGTTTCATTCAAATTAATCGAGCACAGTTCTTCCTCCCCCAGTCGTTACTTCCACTGTTCGCTTCATCCCTAAGCCTCGTGCTGAGACATTTGGAGGGCTTCCATTGTCGTCTGTTGTCCGTCTATTGTCTATCCCGTCTAACCACTCGTTTCGCAGCCACTCCTTTACACGTCCATGAGACGAGGCGGATGAACGCTGCTCATAGAGATCCGCGCAAGCTGTCGGGACATTGTCGGTGCAGCGGTGGTCCTCATGAATCGCAGGTCTCCAGAGAATCGGTAGCGCCAGCGGAGATTGAGTCGCTTCTGACACAGACAGCACAACAAAGGCCACACGGAGATCCATGAGCAGACCATCGCCTGTCAACACCCTGTAGGCGGCTGCTAAACGAACGAGCACTGCTTTCAGTCCAACACATTCGTGCAGCTGTAGGCCTACTATGCGTTTCCGTTTCTAATCAACAAACTCCAAGGCCGCTAAGCCAATGCCTGCCTACCATGATACTTTGCCTCTGACACGGAGATGGTCTACAGAGACGCCGCCAGATGTTGGGTACCGTATGAGCGTGATAATTTTATTGGCGAGAAACGATATAGGTTTTACAGTAGAATGAATGATGTGTTTTTATGATATCAGATAACCCTACTATGAATTGAAAAATTGGCATAATATGCACCCCTCCGAACCTGTAGATCTTATTTCGTACACTGCTTCAGTGAGGTACCTCTCTATTTAATTCAGCTCATAGTTAGGTAGTATGTAAAATATGTGTACTCTTGAGATGAGCCATATACTTTTGATCGTTAGCAGGACAACTTTCACCATCCGAGAAGTTTCTAACCTTCGGTAGTGTTTATAAAATATATACCAATAAGGGGGGAAATAAGTCAATAGTAGAACAATTCTCTGCAGCAAATAACTTCTTTGCCCACACAATTCACTAAGTCCTCACATTTGATTAAAAAATTACCCACATATAGGTTAACCGTACAATTTATTCGATTTAAAAGACCTGCCTGATAGCAGCACTATAAACTGTCTAGTCTGAAAAATTTTTTTTGTTTATAATATGTGGACACTAGCTATTGCGGACTCACGACTCGGTGCACCACCGTTCCCAGAGGAAGCACATTTACATAATCGTCCTTGGATTATGTATGCATAATAACTTTGTAGAAAATTTCTTGATCTGCAAATGACTTTTAGAAGAAAGACTGACAGAAGAATCGTTTACTTCTGCTGATATGCACAGAATAAAACACATTTCGGCTTTGGCTGCTTACGGTGCCCATTGTCTGACCGGTATCCTGTACAACTGTCGCTAATCGCACTCGAGTTCGTTGACATGAAAGTTTCGGTACCCGCCTGAGAGCAGCCAAGCGCCTAGGCACGAGTCAATTGCTTTGTACAAACAAGATTTATTCAACGTTCGATATCTACGTACGATAGAAAGTTTTGCCACCCAAATAGTAGGCATCCAGTGGAAAAATAGGAAATGGTACAAGATTGTTTTAAGCACTCCAGACACTACTCAAATATTGACCCTTTCATTAGAAATGACCTTTACGACATATCTCGCTGAAATTTTCGAATAAATCTTCTTTGAGAGGTCGTATTTGTTAATGGTTCGTTATGCTATGCTTTCTAGGTGCCTTCCTAGTGTAAGGACGTACACAGAAGACAAGTAGCTTTAAACAATGCCTAATAACTACTTTTACTGCGAGCTATAGGCCGAAGTATCCGGAAGGAACAGGTCAGGTCGGGTGCCACTGTCATGATGGCCGCTGCATTATCGAATTCGTTGCAGTAATTTGGTGCCGAAAATATCGTCACAAGTGATCGGTCTGCGAAAAACTCATACCCTTCAGCAACCACCTAGAAAGTGCGTACGTTTAGTTAAAACGCCATTCAAAGTGTCTAGTGATTTTTAAAGCACTTTGAATTATCCGTACAAACAAAGTTCGGAGTCGAAAGCCCACCTCCATCCTCGCGCAAATGCGAGTCGGATACCAGCCCTGATCTCTACTGTACGCAACAGTGTTAATGGAAGTTGCGTGTATTCCACGCACTACATATAGCAAGTTACTAGAGTAAGAAGTAGATAGGTGCTGAGTAAGACGCATAAAACCTGATGGGCGCGTGCGACGAGGTCGAGTCCGAGTTGAGCCAAAAATTTATTTAGAGCGTCCGCTCCGAAAAGGTATGACACTCCCCGATCGCTTTGGACCCAACCTGATCCTGGAAATGGGTCGGCCCACAGTAGGTCCGACGCGATGCCCGAGTCAGGAACGTCATGCATCGGCCTTGGAAGTGACCGAACGCAATCGAATGTTTTTATGTCAGGTGATGGACCTCCGTGACAGCAGAAAATTTTGTCAGCGACCAATGCTGAAATTGTTATACAGAATTATTTGCTTAATTGCTCAGTCAGAACAATACTATTCAACAATACGTTAAAGTAGGTCCTAAACCGTAAACGGATACACAGTAATTAGTGCGAGGTTGATCCGATTCTTTTTCTTATAAAATTATATCATCCGCAAGGTCTACATTATAGGAATCGCACTTGAGTTGTCAACGAAAAGAGATACAAATTTTCTGTCAACGGTTAGGAAGGTTCTAAACATCGCACCTGCAAGGGGTAGCCAGGCAAAGAGATCATTGAACTTTTGGTAGACTTCAAGATTGTACCGATGACGACATTCTGTTAAAAATCCATACATTGAGTTTATGCGTATACACTCATGATTACCACGCAACATGAACACGTTGCCCGGGTATTTGATCTTGTAGATCAGTAGCAAGCATAATACTTCTATTGAGTTTCGACCTCGATCGACATAATCACCCAAGAATAAGTAGTTTGCAGTAGGAGGATGTTTTCCTGCAAATACGAATACGAATAATTTTTTTCCACGATATTTTAATAATTTTAACACACCAAGTCTACCTAGAGCCGTCTCTGAGGATTATCGATGTCGCGCAGGAACAAAGAGGAATCAGTAAGAGATCGTTACTCTTTTATCAGCGGCTAAGTGCATGCGGTCTGCAAATTGGAAACTGTTAACGTGATAAGATACATTTGGCAAAGGTCAATAATTTAGCTTTTTATATAAACATTTAAAATACATAGGTGCATCTATACGAGTCGTTACTTCGCCTATATATCTATCGCCTCCTATAATGGCCCAATGCAATACTCAGATTTCTTTGTCCATCATTCTACCTGCTATTTCTTTCCAGAAGTCTGCAGAGGAGCACCAATGTCGGTGACGATACCTAGGTTTTTGACGTAAACTCTATTCAACATATACCATGTTAATGCTTTAAGGCTGACCGTACGGCACGTACTTACCTTGACTAAGAATTCGTAGCAAATCATGGAACTGCCCATGTATATCACCGCAAATATGAAGAGGCGGACTAAGTTCTATGAGCATTGGTTGCGACTGAAATACATCTTGCGATTTTTTGATAATGTAACAAACCTCCTCGTGTTTGAGGTCGACATATAACGATTTGGTCTTGCGGACCCTAAGGAGGCGTCGCAGGATGTCCTGTAAGTCGATATCGACTATACTGTCCGAATACATTCATAGGCACAATCAGTCACATCGGCTGATCAGAAAAGTTCCGCAAGACGTCCTCGTGCAACTCTAGGGACAACTCTCAAAACGAACTTCGTTCTCGTATGTAAAACAGAACCATACCAACAAGGGCAAAAAGCTTCTTCTATCTGCAACCATTCAATACATGTATAAACATAGATTGTGTTGGAATTATGTTTTTCGAAGTTGAAGACCTCTCTTACGACCTTTAACTATCAGGGCGTCCAAACGTTAGCCTCCGCAGTGCGTAGATTTTTACGGGAATAACTTTCTATCTATTGCACTTTCAACTGTCTACCATACTCAATGGTAATGATGGTGGCAAGGTTTTCCCATTGAACGAGCAACCTCCGGAAATATCACACTAATTTATCAATAGCAGTATTGCCATAGACCCCTATTGAGTGCATCGCGATAATACGATGAACAATATTCAACAGCCCTTAATTTCCAGTGGAAAAACACTTCACAAATTGCTGAGAAAGGCTTTTGCTCCATAAACAGGCAAACCGCCCGCAGACAAATATGACTTAATAACCTGCCATAAATTTCTCAAATAAACTTGGTCACTGATAGTAAAATTGTTATTATCATTGTCTATAAATACAAAGTCATGTATACACTAAACTTAATGAATAATTAACACCATTAAAAACTATATGAATAATTTTCTCTATTCACACAGCTTGGGTAACACGAATCAATTCACTTGGCGTCTTATACTTAACTTTGTTGTAACTTGGTACGGCAAGTGTTTTTTTTTTTTGCTGCGTTTGCTAAACGGCGAGTTCGCAACATTGTCTTTGCGCTGGCAAGGCTCGGTGACTGGTACAGAATATTTCAAGAAAAAGAAACACTACGCTTTAGTTAGTATGCAAACGATAAGGACATCGACTGACATGGTTCATAGAGTCGTCCGTTGACTTCTGTTCAGCTTTAAATAGTGACGAAGTTTTCTTCATGCACTAGCACACTACGTTGACGAAGGATATGATCTCTTTGAAGATGTGGCGTTCCTGCGGTTGTCTAAATGCCTTGACTTCGAAATAATAACATTATGCAAGGAGGAGATAATTGTATAGTTGCATTGAGATAACTACGAAAAAAATTACACACCAGTGGAGAGTGCACTAGGCCATACGAATTTTATTTAAATTTTCAAAAAAGGCGCCCTGTGTCTTCTAAGCAGCCCCTATCTTGTACACTCAGTAGCCGAAACTTGTATGTCTACGACAGTTCGAAACACGTTCTGAGTGTCGAAGCTGTACTACAAACAGAGGACTGGGTTGCTAGATAGACTAAGTGAAATTATGAGATTCAGCGGTAGAAATGTGAGTTCCGTTTTATTCAAGGATTCGACCCATAATTATGAACGTAGTTCATTAAAAGTTCCACTTACTGGAGACATTGTTTCCGGGTTGAACTTGGCAGTTACGACATGTTAGTGCAAAAAAGGATGTGTTGGACTAGTCAGAATGAAGGAAGCACACTCATCTCAATTCGTAACGTATTTCAGGCAACATTAAGCGAATCGGTCCCGGCACGGTGATGCGTTATCTCGTCTAAATACGCACATGCTCCGCGTTGAGGAATACAGGGGTCCTTTAGGACGTTTCAAGTTCCAACTCATTGGAACGCATCCGAAGACCAGCCGAATCCCCTAGCCAGAATGCTATTATTAACGCTGGCTCAACTACCAAACAAAAGCTGTTTTGTTACATTATTTTGTTATAGAGCACTAGAAATGGTTACGGCTGTCGGTAACAAGCCACGCTGTGGTGTTTGGCTGCTTCAAGCGCATTCGATTTAATCCCGACTAACGAGGCAAATCCAGCCAAAATGTGAGCCTCATCGTAGCAGGAGCAGACGAACCCCTGACGGCTTTAGCGGGACCTGCATCGGGGGTAACTGGCAGTTGCTTTTCGATTTGCCTCAATAGTTATGGAGGGAATTCTATTTTCTACAGTTCCAGTATATCGTATTTGATAAGGTCGTGTTATGCAGAATAAACATGCATTGATTTTCGAAGCGCATCTGCTACGCAGGTAGAGGATTGCAAATACGAACACAAAAAGCTGCAGCAACAACGTGCGATCATTTATTTTGATGAATAATCATTCTGATTTTATATCTATAGGCTGTATGTTGCCTGGGCCATTCGAAGTATATGAGGCAAATAACGGTAATGAGTGGACCCACGTATACTTTGACTGAAGAATAGACGGCGACGACGGCGGCAGTAGTGGCTGCAATCACAACGGTGGGTTAGGAGCAAGCTCAAGGACCCTCAAAATATTTTCGAAATACGTAATGCTTGTCGTGAGTGATTTGTACATGCCCGAGGGCTTGTTGCCTGCGCTGTAAGGGCTTGCTCCTTAGGCAAGGCAACGACCTCGAATGGTTGTGTTGAAAGCTGTCGGAGTCGAGAAGTTCGATCGTTGGGGTCGACAGTTGGGTAGCGCTTTACGTATGCGCTTCTGGGTTCCGTAATTGGCAATCGTATATCCGAAAATATAAGAAGCCCTTCCAACTAAAGGTGCTTACTGTCGCATCAAACACTAGTATATGGGGCATTGAATATGCCTTTATTTGTGCCTATGCTTAAGAAGCATTATTGGCAGAACCATACGAAGGAGAATATTTAGGTTATGGGAAGCTGCTTTTACAAAATAAGAACAAATATTATCACAAAATGATAAACTTATCAAAAGCTTACATGTCGTGTGGATGATTTCAAACAAACAATACATATAACAAAAATATAAAATGTTAACATGTTTATGCAAGTTCTCTAGACAAGGCGGCTTACGGCATTCCGTTGCTCGTAAATCAGCTAAGTTCGCAAAAATTCTTGCTCTTCTTTTCTCTTGCACAGAAATGGTGCCGAAATTCAGCAGAACGTATGAAAAAACCTCCATAAACAACCGCGCATTTCCTTTCTATCATTTTACGTGAGAGTTTTTGCTACAGTCGTACGACTCATTACAGACTTTGCTTGCTTGCTGTTGTTGCTGCTATTTTAAGTCCACCTAGCAATATCTATTTACCACTTCACTATCGTCCTCTTATATTCGAAGGGCACCCTTAGCCACTTGGTGCTGCACAAGCAACAGTAAAATAGAGCTCGAGCGACGGAAGACCAACGCGGTTCCTAGTCATGCTCTATGTGCAGTCAATAAAAGACTGGCCTTCGTTGCCGATACTGCTAACACCGCCGTCCAACACAAAAGCCGCACGACCGCTTTGCTCAACCGTAAATCATCAGGAAATAGGATAACATCATTGGCATTCACCACTCGCATAGACGCATCGAAAGTGCGCTCCCGTTCGTCTAGACGAAGTTTATTGCAGGGCCTGCAGTCGTGGACCATCGTCCGTTCGGTGGCATCGTCATCGCCGCCGGGATGTAAATGTCGTTCATTCGTTCTACCGGCAACAAACTCGCACTTCTTACGAATTGAGCTCAGCCGCTGCTGCTGCGCGTCAGCCTTCGATTGCTGTCGCCTAAGGGAGCGAGGGTTCAGTGCAAGTGACAAATATGTGAGTGGGGGGGGGGGGGGGGAATAAACTACATTTATGGGGTAAGATGGGATTTGGTTTTCTGGAAACACCTTTTTTGCAGAGATGAATGTCCTATCCGTTATATAGATCAGAATAGACTGAAAAAGGCCGTTTTCAAAATTGTAACTATATCCTGAGTCACGGTCCTGCCCTTAAATGCAGCCTAGGTTTTTGGTTAAGGGTCACTAAACATAGTGTTTAGGCAAAATTTAATGAAACGCGCCACTTTAACGAATGCTGTTGTATGCAAAAAAAAAAAAAGCTTCCAGGTTTTAGAGCTCTCCGTGGCATTTTTCTAGCGTCCGCTGCTCAAATCTCTGCTAATTCAAAAAGTTAGAGAAGATTCAAGAAGTGAGCTTAAGCATTTGAGGACACAGTTCCAATCGCTTTCCACGACGGACAATGCGCCCGCTCTAACGTACGTAAATGACGCAACTTATTGTGTACATTTTATGCCTAATAATAGTTATATATTTTTCCTTTTTTGCATTGCAATAAGCTGTTGTCATCGCTGAAGAGTCTTTTTTTTGCGCTAGTTTTTTTTGTTGACTTTCGGCCAAGCCAATCGACCCTTTGGACTCTCTAGACCAGACATTTTGACTGAGTCTGACATTTGAAATCGTATGGGAGACTCGAAGGCAAAGGACGGTAGGCTTTACTACCCTGTAATAATTCCATGTCTGTCTGCTTTGCTCAGCATCGACCACTGCTTCGACGATTTTCAGCTACTACGATATGTGTTCAAGGATCGCTTTTTGTCCTGTATACTGCCGCAACCCCCAAAACAAAGACGGGTTTCCGCCCTTACCACCCATCAGTTTTCTACAACAGTTGTGGTGACTCCTCCTCGTTTTCATTTTCCCTCTCTGTGCCTCTTTATCGTTTGCTCTGCTTTCCTACTTTCTTAGCTGGATGTTCGTGTCAAGCTTGGTACTCTCGAGTGAACCTTTCCAAACTCCGACATACTCTGACGAACTTGGTGCGTGCAGGGGGATGAACAGGCGCCAGCCGTTCGGGAACCAGGCGATCCTACGACGTAAATCCACCGAACAGCTCCAATTGAGCTTATGCTCACAGTTCGGCATCGGGTACGGGCTTTACGTATGACGTACTCGCGCTGCGCTCAGTACCCCGAATGTTCGCCGATCACATCACATCACCCTTTGTAGGTTTGCTTTGACCTGTCTCAAAACGAGGATAGGCTCCTTCGCGTGAGTGTAGCCTCTGCTGCAGTAGTTGTGCTGTCGACAATGATTCTGCGTCACTGGCTCTATTTCTCGCAGCCACTGCTTGCGATATATCGTAAGGTTCGTTTGATCAGACTTTCGTCATCCAACGTTAGCCGTTTGGCGTTGAAGCTGCGGGACGGCGTACGAATACGTTCGATTCAAAGCCGCCGCGCCGTTGATCGGAGCGGGCTTTTCCCCGTTCTTCCACTCATGTGATCATATGCGGGGCGTGGAATGCGTCCCCAGCTAGTTTAGTGGTCTCCTTTGTCTTCCTGCTTGCAGCCTGCTTTGTGCTTGCGTTTTTTTCGCTCGAATACATTGGCACCCACAGCGGGTGCGCGCTATATATTATATACGCTATCAACGAAGTGTATATAATGAACGAGACGGATCTAGTTGGCGCACGAGGACCTAAACATAGCGGGACGGAGACAGAACGCGAGAGAAGCGTCTAACAAAGACCAAACAGGCCAGCAGAAGACAGCAGGGCTAACGGCGCAGAGCACGGCTTCTTTTCAAAATCCTTCTTCATCTTTGTCTTCGAACATTTTAGTACTAATCCTAAAAACGCTTGCTAGATATAGACGCTTGGAGCCATGTCAAAGTCGAATAAGATCTGCCTTTAACCCTTGGGCTACACTCAGTTTGATAA